AAGAAGGAAGTTAAAACCTCCCCAGGTCAGATTTTGCAGACAAACTCTTGTTAGATACAGTCAGAGAGGTTTCCTCCCTGCAGGCCTTGTCAGAGCCTTTAATCTGCTGAGATGTACTATGACACCTCAGTGGAGTGAGGTAGGATCAAGGAATAGATATCAGGGGATTTGGAGAGCCATCATATGCTTGGCCAAAAAGGTTTAAGCACGGAAACTTTCTTTGCCAAGGACTATCTCCGGATCTGGCATCTCCAGAAAGAAGAGTCACCTGTACCAATAGTTGCCTGCCATGTCCCTCTGTGCCTTTCCCAGAACTAAGCACATAGCAGACCTGCAGCACAGGTATGGCAATGGAGGGACAGGAACACCAGGGAAAGAGTGAACAGGCTTTTTAATGCTCTGTTTATTTCAGCTTGGTGTTGCAGTAAAAATTCAACAGGGTTAGTGTTCAGACTCTCAGGGGAAGATGGAGTTAAAATAACACAGACTTCAGTGGTGTCTGGCACTGCTGGCCAGGGACCTTGCTCTGCCCTGGAATTCTGTTCCAGAGAATTTCAGAGATGTCCTTTGTCCTAGGAACTGAGCATCACGGCACGGTGGACAGCATGTAACCTATATCGGTGGGTTCCCAAACATCCCCTCTCCCGCCCCCAGCCCAGGGCCTGCAGGATTCTCTCTTTCTCCTGGGAGGAAAGGCATGCGCTCAGGACCTGCTGCCTTCTCCACCCAGGCCTTCAAATGAGATTTCTAAATCCCAGCACTTTGGGAGGCTGAGGTGGGCAGATTACTTGAGCCCAGGGGTTTTAGACCAGCCTGGGCAACACAGGGAGACCCCCATCTCCACAAAAAATAAAAATAAAATTAGCCAGGCATGGTGGCATGCAACTGTGGTCCCAGCTACTTGGGAAGCTGAAGAGCGAGAATTGCTTGAGCCCAAGGGGCCGAAATTGCAGTGAGCCAAGATTATGCCACAGTACTCCAGCCTGGATGACAGAGTGAGACTGTCTCAAAAAAACACAAAGATTCCGTCGCCTGGATGTGCCACAATTTCCCTAACCATTCTGCAGGATAATTCAAGGACAGAGAGAAGATCCGAAGAAAGAAGGCAGCCCTGGTGACCAAAGCTGGCAGATGGGGGTCAGCTGGGAGCCCCAGCTTGGTGGATACTGGGGCCACCGTTTCCCCACCCAGATCCTTGCTCAGGAAGGCAGCCCCAAGGGAACCTTCATTCCCAGTCAGATGGGGACAGAAGCGAGGCAGAGCCGAGGCAGGAGGGCTCAGAGGAAGCTCCTGGCAGGACTGATACGTGAGGGAGGCTGAACAAGAGGAGGAAACCCCGCAGCCTGTGGCATCCGGGAGGATTTGGGGAGTGTGAGATGAGAAGAGAAGAAGTCTCACCCAGCCCAGCAGAAGGGAAGCATGAAGAGAGAAGAGATGTCAGTTACACCTCCTGGAAACCATCTCTGAAAGGACGGGAGCCAGGAAGGGGGCAACCCCACACACCCCGGGCCAGATGGGTGGGCCCCGGTGCCCAGCCCTGGTCCAGGCCTCGGTCTGCGGGGTCTCACTGCTCTCCCTGCCCAGGCTTTTGTCTCCCAGACAAGCCATTCTCCATGAAGCAGTTACAGTGATATAAAATACGGACCAGGCCGGGTGCAGTGGCTCACGCCTGTAATCTCAGCATTGTGGGAGGCTGAAGCAGGAGGATCAGGAGGTCAGGAGTTGGAGATCAGCCTGGCCAGCATAGTGAAACCCCATCCCTACTAAAAATATAAAATCAGCCGGGCGTGGAGGCCGTCGTCTGTAGTCCCAGCTACTCGGAAGGCTGGGGCAGGAGAATCGTTTGAACCCGGGAGGCAAAGGTTGCGGTGAGCTGAGATCACGCCACTGCACTGCAGTGCAAGACTCTGTCTGAAAAAAAAAAAAAAAGCAACTGTTCTTCCTGGAAAGCCTGGACTCCCGAGATACCTTCTTCTTTGCACAACGCTTGGGCTTTTTTAAGAGTTGAAGTGAACACTTGAAGCTGTCTGTGATTCTTATTTTTATAATTAATAGATCTTATTTTTAGAGCAGTTTTAGCTTTACAGAAAACTGAGCAGATAGTACAGAAAGTTCTCATTTCCCTGCACAGTGTCCCCTGTCATGGGGTATGTGTGTTACAGTTTTGAGTATCATTCACTAGAGCCTGCGGTTTACATTAGGACTTACTCTGTGGCAGACACGTCAGTGGGTTTTGCCATATGCGTAATGCCAGGTATCTATCATCGTGGCATCATAAAGAATGGTCTCAGCGCCCCAAAAACCCCTTGTGTGCCGCCTGTTTATCCTCCCTCCCTGTCCCCTCCAGTCACTGATTGTGTTCATTGTCTCCCTGCTAGACCCCAAGCACCATCGGGGCAGGGAGCCATCTGCTTCGTTGATGTTACACTCACTGTTCCCAGCTCAGAGCCTGCCACGTAACAGGTGCCTGATAAATATTTTTATTTGCATATTTTAATAAAAATAGGATTCTGCTAAACCCATTGTTCTGCAATTTGCTTTTTCCAAATATTGACAATATATCTTGGAAATCTTCCCGTATCAGGATATAGAACACACTCTCTCTCTTCCGCTTTTTATCATGGAGAATTTCCGACACAAAGAAAGAATCTGCTATGATGCACCTCTGTATTCCCCCCACCTGACTGTAGTTATCAACTAGTGGACCTTCTCATTTCATCTGTACCTCTGCCGATCAGATAATTTTATCTGTAAATATTTCTATGTGTATCTCTCTCTCTCTCTCTCTCTCTCTCTCTCTCTCTTTCTGAGATGGAGTCTTGCTCTGTTTCCCAAGCTGCAGTGTAGTGGTGCAATGGCTCACTGCAACCTCCGCCTACCAGGTTCAAGGAATTCTTCTGCCTCAGCCTCTCAGTAGCTGGGATTACTGAATGCATCACCACACCTGGCTAATTTTGTATTTTTAGTAGAGATGGGATTTTGCCCTGTTGGCCAGGCTAGTCTCGAACTCCTGACCTCAGGTGATCCACCTGCCTTGGTCTCCTAAAATGCTGGGATTATAGCCGTGAGCCACCACACCTGCCCCCCACCCTTTTTTTTTAAACAGTCTTGCTCTGTTCCCCGGCTACAGTGTAGTGGTACAAACATGGCTCGCTGCAGCCTCGAACTCCTGGGCTCAAGGGATCCCCTCGCCCTAGCCTCTTGAGCAGCTAGGACTGCAGGCATGCGCTACCACAATGGCTATTTTGTAAATTTTTTGTAGAAACAGGATCTCACTATGTTACCCTGGCTGACCTCAAATTCCTGGGCTCAATCAGTCCTCCTGCCTCAGCCTCCTAAAGTGCTGGGATTACAGGTGTGCATCACCACGCCTGGCCTGTGTGATCTTCTAAAAGATAGGGACTTTAAAAAACATAGCCACACTATCATTATCATACCTAGTAAACATTAATTTAATGTCATCTAATATAGGCAATGTCCAAATTTCCAGTTATCTCATAAATAAACGTTGCATTTGTTTGCGTGTTTGATTTTACAGGTTGTTTGAACCAAGGGCCAGAGGAGCTTCGCTTCTGCCATTAATTGGTATGTTTTTGAAGCTGCTCTTGCTCTAGGTCCATCCTTTTTCCCTATCAATTTTTTCTCCCATGCAACTCCTTATCGGTTGAAAAAACTGGGCCATTACTGCCAGAGTATCCTCCAGTCCGGATCTTGCAGACGTCGCCCCCTGGTGTCAGTCAGTGTGATGCTCTGTCCTCCGTCTTTCCTGGGTGCTCACATCTGGATCTAGAGACTTGATCTGATTCAGGTTCCGTTGCTTTGGTGAGACAGCTCCGCGTGGGGGTGTGTTCTTCTAGAAACGCTCACTCTCTGCTGGCGTCTCTTGGGAAGTTTGGGGCTGGTGCGACTCCGTGCCTGGAGCCATTCGTTCATCAGGGACTGCTAATTCTCTCCTGAAATGCTTCTATAAAAAGAAACTTCCCCTCATCAACTGTCAGTTACCCTGAGGTACAGTTTATATAGGACAGGCAGGATAAATGCTTGATTCTTTCCCTTTATTTACCAGTTTTCAGAATAATGAGTCGCCTCTAAATATTTGAATGAATGGATGAATAATACATGTTATGAACTGACAGGGTGCGGGAGTTCGGGGGTTCTGTCACCCTCAAGGGAGTGGCTGTGGGCCACAAGCCGACAGCAGAGGTCCAGCCCAAAGCCAGGTGCCTGTCTACACAATGAGATGCAGCCCATGGCCAGGTCCCCGTCTACACCAGGGGCTGGCAGCAGCCCCTGCCACCCATCAACCCACCTCAGTCAAGAGCTAGGGTGATCAAGCCAGGAATGTGACTCATGCCTGTAATCCCAGCACTCCCAGCACTCAGGAGGCCAAGGCGGGCAGATCACGTGGTCGGGAGTTCGAGACCAGCCTGGCCAACATGAAGAAACCCCATCTCTACTAAAACTACAAAAGAATTAGCTATGCGTGGTGGCGAACACCGGTAATCCCAGCTACTCGGGAGGCTGAGGCAGGAGAATCACTTGAACGGGGGAGGGGGAAGGAGGGGTAGAGGTTGCAATGAGCCGAGATCAGGCCATTGCACTCCAGCCCGGATGACAGTGTGAGACTGCATCTCAAAAAAAAAGTTGGGTGAGGGGTGCGGTCCGAGGGTGATCTGAAGTTGCGTTACTAAGAATCTAACGTCTAGGACAAGGGAGTATCATCCCTCTCCCCAGCTGAGATGTGGGGAATCACTGAAACCAGCATCAGAGTGGAGAGGAGAGCCACACAGTGCGTGTAGGGGCAGCCTTCGGAACACATGGCGTTGATCTCTCCGCAGCAGGGGGAATCAAGGAGTTTCTGGCCTGAAGCTTGGGCTGGTGGCCTCCAGGGTTTCTTCCTGGGCAGCCCAGCACCTCCTGGGAGGCACTCCTTTCCCCAAAGTCCAGGCCAGGCTGCCCATGAGCGCTCTGACATCTCTGCCATCTCGGTGTCTCCCCAGGTGCAAGTGCAATCTGCACGCCAATCTGTGCTCCGTCCGGGAGGGCAGCCTGCAGTGCGAGTGCGAGCACAACACCACCGGCCCTGACTGCGGCAAGTGCAAGAAGAACTTCCGCACCCGGTCCTGGCGGGCCGGCTCCTACCTGCCGCTGCCCCACGGCTCTCCCAATGCCTGTACGTGCCACGACCCGGGCCACGCACCCACATGGCTGCAGTCTCCCCCACCCATCCAGGAGCTGTGGATCAGACACACACACACACACACACACTGGCACACAGGCACATACGAGGGCACATGCATGCAAATGTGCACACAGGAAGATACGAGCTGCATGCACGGGCATGGACACACATATAAACGCACAAACGTGCATGCACAGAAACACACAGGCATGCATGCCCACACACACACACACACCCCCCTTGTTCTGCAGCTCCCACGCACCAGGTTTGTTAACAAGTCCATCTAGCACACCTGCATCCTGCAGAACGCTAAGCTGCCCTTCCAGCCCTGGTCCGCAGGGAAACCCCAGATGAGCTGCTCAGCAGCATTTCTGCAACGCTTCCCCTTCTTGGCCCCTGAAGGCTGACCGGGGACACCCTTGGGATGGCAGGAAGTGATGGGGGTGGGGACCCCACTTCAGGTGAGGGGATCAGCAGCAGCATCCCTGATCATGAGCATCTCTGGGGTGTTCGGAGTGAGCCACAAAAGCCAAGTGTCGCGTGTTCAGCACTCCCCGCCGTCCTCAGAGCAGCCCTGGGAGCTGGGCTCCTATTAGCCCATTTTACAGCTGTGTCCTCAACTCCTGGCGGCGGCTTGACCTCTGGCGGCGGCTCCCAGGGTTTCTCGGCCGGTTTTCCAGCCATGCTGCCTTTGTCAGACAGGAACCCTGCGTACAGTGTCCTTGTCTTTCTCTCTCCAGTGGGGCCAAAAGTCTAAAATAAGAGGCGTGTGTGGGCAGCTCCACGGTGCCCCGCACGCGCTCTCTGCCACCGTCGTCCTGTCCTCGCTCAGCCGTGCCAGGGGAGCCATCCCCAGGGCCTGCCACTCACGTCTGCATCATAGACCTCCTCTGAGGACTCCCACTCCGGGGGTCCCAGCATAATCCACGCTGTCTCCATGAAATCAGAATGCCAGGGAGCCCCTGGGCTGCAAGTGGAGCAGGGCACAGATGCCCTGGGGGGTGCTCTCCCTGACCCCCACCGTGGCCATTTTTCAGATGTCGGTGGTTCTCAAGTGTGTGGTTGGTACCCAAGGCCCTCCCAGGCCCTTTCTGCTTCGTCTTGCTTTGCCCTCACATAGCCCCACAGGGCGGTGTCATTACGGCCCATTCTCCAGATGAGCAGACCGAGGCCCAGTGACTCTCAGGGCCTTCCCGGGTCTCACAGTGAGTTCCGTGCAAACACCAGGGCTTAGAGCAGCTACTGGATCTGATGCCCACACCAGGCCGGGGCAGTGGGCTCCTGCACCCCATCTGGGCATCCTCCCTGGATGGGTGAAAGATTTACGTGACTTTAGGCTGATCAAAGCTGAAAGCCACGTGCAGAGGCCATGACAGGCCCGTCACGCATGTGCTGCAGCAGGCAGCCAGACAGGCCTTTGAAGGGGTGACTTGGCAGGCACCAAACAGCACTCTCGGGTCTTCAAAGGCACAAAGAGCACCCCAGGGGCTGGCAGCCCACTCCAGCCGCTGCCTCCTCCCAGCTTCCTGTCCCCAGTTCTTTGTCCAGAGCCTTTCCCGAGGCCTCTCTTCAGTAGCTGTCGCTCTCTCCCTGACTCACAGATTCGCCTCTCCTTTGTCTTTCCTGAGGGCCTCTCTCCCTTCCCTCCTCCCGGCCTCCGTTCTCTCCATCATCACGCCCTCCTTATTATTGTTTTTTTTTAGAGACAGGTGTCTCACGCTGTCGCCCAGGCTGCAGTGCAGTGGCGCAGTCACGGCTCACCACAGCCTCAACCTCCCGGACTTAAGCGATCCTCCCACTTGAGCCTCCCAACTAGCTGGGGCCACAGGCACACGCCACCAAGCCCAGTTAATTTATGTGGTTTTGTAGGGACAAGGTTTTGCCATGTTGCCCAGGCTGGTCTCGAACTCCTGAGCTCTAGTGACCCTCCTGCCTTGGCCTCCCAAAGTGCTGGGATTACAGGCATGAGCCACCGCGTCTGGCCATGTCTGGCTTTTATCTTCTACTTGTCCCCTGCACCTGTCCCCTGTCCTGCAAGGCCTCCCGTCTGCCCATCGATGGGCCTGAGGCTCTTACCTGCTGGGCACACCTAGGAGGACCCACTGTCCCCACCCTCACCCCCAGTCACCACCTCTGGTCTAGCCAACAATGGACAGACAGGCCTGTAGGGGCTGGGCAGCTGCGGCTTCCTTATTTAGGGGAGACTCCCAGAGCTGGCCCCACCTCCTGCTTCCCTGGGAGTCCCCCAAGCCCCAGGAAGGAGGGGTTTCTTCTGGCGTTTGCAGGGGCAGTAGTGAGGCTGGAGGCGCTGCTGTCCTCAGCGCCCGAGCCTCCTGCCTTCCCTGGGGCTCCAGCAGGAAACAGCCCAAGGAGACAGAGGCTGATTTTGCCCTCACCTGCCCCTGTCGTGACCCCTCCTCAGTAAGTGGCATGGACCCCCACGGGGCCAAGCTGCAAGTCTGGGGGTCACCTTGACTGGTGACTCCCCCTACATTCTTCCAACTTCCTTCCATCCCCCCATCTCTCCCAAAGCCCCCCTCAGCCCCGCAGTAGCCCTCACCTGTCTGCCCTCATGGCCGGCTCCTCGCCCTCCAGGGCCCAACTTAGAGGCCCCAGGATCTCCCTGTGCTCCACCCATGTCCCACCCGTCCCCACGGGGCCTCACTTGGCCACCACCCAGTCTGAGCCCTTGCTCACTGTGGCCGCATTCTGACGTGTCCTGAAGGTCTAGCAGATGTCTACGCAGACCTGGAGGTGGGGGAAGGAGTGGGTGAGGATGGGCTCCTCCTCTCAGGCCTCCTGGGCTGTCCTGCTGGCCGTGGCCTTGGCTTGCCCGGGAGAAACCCACGTGCCACACATCCCACTGCCGATCCCACAGCGCCCTTTCTCGGGGACTCCGTGGGGAAAGCTGTGGCACCAACTCCCTTTTGCAACTGTGATGAATCTCACCCTGGGATTTCACCCTGGTCACACCAGGATCATCGGCCTCCTGCATCCCCTGGACACACGGAGACCCACCAGATTTGACTCAGGCCGCGCCCACTCCCAGCTGTATTTCTCCCCAGCCGTGTGTCCTCGCTGTGGAATCAGGAAGGAAACTCCCCCACCGGTTTTTTGTGAGGATGGTGCGGTTCATGCAGGGGATGTTGATGCCGTGCCCGGCACGTGGGACGCATTTGACCCCTGCCGGCGGCTCCCAGGGTTTCTCGGCTGCTTTTCCAGCCACGGTGCCTTTGTTGGACCAGAACCCTGCATACAGCGTCCTTGTCCTGCACTCCCCAGTGGGTCCAAAAGTCTAAAATAAGAGGAGTGTGTGTGCAGCTCCCTGTGGAGGGTTTGGCACCCGTCAGCATGTCCCCAAGGATAAGTCATGGCTCTGAGGCTCAGTGTCTCCATCTGCAGAATGGGCCAACAGTGGCTCCTCTCTCCCAGGGCTGCAGTGAGGATGAAACGGGATAATCCGCCCCTGTCCCGCACCCTGCACGTCACCACCACTGCTAGCAGCCGTGTAGTGGGGCAGGTGTTCTTGAGAGAGGGGGACCCCCAAGTGTTTCTCCTGCCCTGCCGGCCCCTCCCCCACAGGCAGCCGGCTCACACCCCTCTCTCTCCCGCAGGTTCCGCTGCAGGTTCCTTTGGCAGTAAGTACACGCCTTCGGAGGGCGGCCGGGGCCCCACTGTACCAGCCTCTGCATGTCCTGGAAAAAGCAGGAGAGAAAAAAAAGGGGCTTCGGTGTCCCCTCTGGGACTTGGACCTATTCACTCTCTCCTCTAATTATGCCCCATCTGCTTCTCCACCTCTCACCCCTCCACATCACGTCATGTGTCATGTGTCGTTTGTCCGTGGCCTGCGGCCCCATATCCCAGGCTCTCCCAGGAGCTCCGTCAGTGCTGCTTTGGAAAACAGGACAGGACCTTTGGCAGGTCCCTTGACCCCTGGGTGGACTCCCCATTCCTCCTGCCCCCTGGGCCTCTTCTCCCACTCAGATCTGGGAGAGGAGTCTCTCCTGCCAGGCAAGAGGCGGGTGACCTTCCCTGACCAGGGCAGACTTTGCCGCCCAGCCTGACCGTGGAGGCAGCCTACCCCTGGCAGCCTCTCCAGCCAGCTTGGCCCGGGGCTCTGCTTGTCCAGGTCAGCTCAAGTCCCAGGAGAGTCGGTCCAGGGAGGGGCACCTGCAGGAGGTTGGGGTCCTGAGAGTTCTCCAGGAGGGCAAGGGTGACATGGTGCCCACAGGCTATCCGTGAACGCCATCGAGGCTATCCCCAAACGCTCACAGGGTGCCAGGCACAGCCCCCCATTTCAGCCTTGCAAGCCCCTCCCTCTGGGAGGTGGCCATCTGCTCTGAGAGGCAGCAGGAAAGGGCTGGTCAATGTCAAGAGCCAGCCAGTAGCAGATCCCAAATCTCAGCAATGCCTCTGGGACAGGCCGTCACCCTCCACCAGGGCTCTCTGGGGCCCCATATCCTATCCAAGTTGTCCTTTCCGGACCCAGAGAGCCTCTGGCTGGGAAGCCAGTGCCAAGAGGGCGACAGAAAGATGCTGGACCCTGTGGGAATGCTGGTCTGCACGGCCGTGGTAAGTTGCTTCTCTGTGGTGTCCCCACCCCGGCAACCCCCCATCCTCTCTTCCTTTTCCCATCTCTCACCAGGCATCAGCAGGCCCCAGAAAGACCCCAACCCCAAAGGCCCTGTGGCCACCGCAGCCACCACGGCAGTGACAAGGGCCCCCACCACTTCTGTCCCCTCTACGTCCACTGTCTGGGCCCCCACAGCTCCCAGCACCCCACAGCCCACAGGTGGGTGCCAGGGTCCAGTGACCCCTGCCGTCCCTCCTCTCCCGCTTCTAACCTGAGTCACTGCTTCTTGCGGGGTGGGAGGGTCGGCAGCCCTCAGGGGAGAGCAGGGGCTTGGCTCTTAGAGACACTAGAGCCCTAGAGCTGGGAGGCCACAGGCCAAAGGGGCTTCTAGGTAGCTTGGGTCAGCCTGTTCCTGAGCCCAGCCAGGGGACTCAAGGGTCAGTCGAGCTTCCAAAATTGTCTTCCTCCTGCCCCTCCAAGCCATTGCTTGGAAGGGGTCCCAGACCAGTGTGGCCAGACGGCTGGGGGAACTGGGAGGAAAGGTGCTGGGGGCAGTGAGGCCATCCTGACATGCAGCCGAAGACCGGCCTTGTCTTCCAACAAGGCTTCTTCCTCCGTGGTCCTGGAGCCCCGCCCACACCTGGCGCCCAGGGCTTCTCTGTCCCCAGCCCCTCAGCAGTCCACCATGGGATGGACAGAGCAGGATTAGCCCAGAAAGCAAAGGTCTCTGATCAACAGGGCAGAGGGTGCCTCTGGAGCCGGGTTTGGACACCAGGGGCTGCAGGGAATTTGGGGGCTGTGTGTGTGGTCCAAGGCCAGGCCAGGGGCAGACATTCTGCCTGCTCAGGGTCCTGCCACAGACAAGCATGGAAACCTGATTCTCACTCCCCTCCAGAGGAGGGATTCGCATGTATTCAAGGTTGGGGGTGCTGGGGTGGGCCCCTGCCCTCCCCTGGACTCACCTGGGGAGTGTCCCTGGACTCTGTGCACTGCAAGTGCCAGCTGCTGAAAGGATTTATTCTTCCCAGAAGCCACCAGGAAGACGGTGACCAAGGAAAATTCTTCCTGGTACCAGCCAGGGAGGGGTGCCTCAACCGCCTGCCCTACCGTGTCCCCCACCACCCTGCAGGGAGGACCTGGTAGGGACTCCTGACCCCTTTGGCAGTGTCCTGGCCCTCCCTCCCTCTCTCTCTGATCCCAGGGGACCTGCCCCACTGCTCCTTCCCCCTGAAGGGGCGGCATTTCTAAAGAACAGAGTCCTCTCTGTCAGTTCCTGCCTCCGCCTGTTGCGAGGTGGGCACTCAGGCTCCCCAGCGGGGGCAAATGTTGATAGAAAGTCCTCCTCCTTCCTAGGCCATCCAGGGCCGGTCCCCTCTTCCTACTGTGGGGGGCATTTACAGGAGGCAGGGGCTGGTTAGAAGACTGGAGGATTTTGGGGAAGCCTCCTGGCTCAGGAGTCCTCCTTAGGTGTAGGACATGGGTCACTCTGAGAATTCTGGACTTCAGCACAGGTTGGCCCAGACACAGGGGACCAGTGCACTGAGCCTGTGGTAGGCAGACAGAAGCAAAAACAGTGATGGCGGGTGCTGTGCCTGTCCCGAAACAGTGGTCTGTCCGGCTGGGAAGTCAGGTACTTTCCATGCCACATTTGTGCACATGCACATGTACATACATGCATGCACGAACACACACACACGCGCGCACACACGCGCGCGCGCACGCACACACACACACGAACCTTCGTCTGACTTGGTGCCAGGGCAGCCGTGGGAGTCTGGGCAGATTGTGCAAAGTCGGGAATTAAAGAGGAAAAGTCAGAGGCTGGAGTGGTGAATGTGGGGGAGGTGAGGGTCCCCCTCAGCGAGCAGGAGGCACGACCTCCCTCCTGGTGAGACAGTGTCGCTCTGCACCCTCAGCCCTGTGTCAAGAAGTGAGACATTAGGGGAGGAGGTGGCTCCAATGTGGAGCCAGTGGCCTCCCCAGCCCACGTCTAGGGGCTCCTCCCTCCTCTTCAGCAGCTGAATCTCCTGCCCGGAGCCCCCATTAATAAAGATGATCATTGCAGTTGCTGAGGGTGAGTTCTCCTGGGCTAAAGGCTGTGCTCGGATCATTGGATCATCATATTCTGGGCTCACAGCTCTGTGAGGTGGAGGCTGTTATTCCTAGTCCCACAGGTGAGGGGATTGAGGTTTAGGAAGCAGCAGCTGGATTTTATGATATGTAAATTACACCTCAATCAAGCTGTTTCAGAAGAAAAAAGAAAGAGGCAGTTGCCCAGGGTCCCAGGATTATGGAGAGGCGCTGGCAGGATTTGAGCTCAGGGCATGGCAACTCAGCCACAGCTATTGCCCTGAGGCCTCTAGGATCTGTGAGGTAGTGCTTTTTTTTTTTGAGACAGAGTCTTGCTCTGTGGCCCAGGCTGGAGTGCAATGGCGCAATCCTGGCGCACTGCAACCTCTGCCTCCCAGGTTCAAATGATTCTCTTGCCTCAGCCTCTTAAGTAGCTGGGACTATAGGCGTCCGCCACCAAGCCCAGCTCATTTTTTTTTTTTTTTTTTTTATATGGACAGGGTTTCATCATGTTGGCCAGGCTGGCCTCGAACTCCTGACCTCAGGTGATCCACCTGTCTCGGCCTCCCAAAGTGCTGGGATTACAGGCGTGAGCCACCGCGCCCAGCCGAGGTTGTGCTGTCTTTAAGGCCTGGCTTGCGGGGCTTCCCAGTTCTGAAGGAGCAGGCCAGGCTTCCATGGGGCCTTGGCACACTGCACAGGCCGTGGTGAGAACTTGCTTCCCGCACACCTGAGTGTGTCCCTGGGCAGCCCAGCCAGCACTCTCCCCTCTCCCAGACCCCGGTCCCTGAAAGATCCTGAATCCCCCCAGGCGCCTCCCTACAGGTGCTTCGGGCTCTTTGACCAGAGTCCTCCTGGGCCCCGGAACTCCTGGCCCAGATGTTTCTCCGGCCTGCCGATATTAAGCTGTCTGGAGGGCAGCACTGCAGGCAGAAAAAGCCGCTGGAGACACTAATCCTTCCCTGGGCTGGGCCACGGAGGGTGGAGGGAGATGGCTGAGAAGCAAATGCCTTCAGGGCTGGTTTTCTCATGGCTCTAATTAAGCCCTTGCCAATTTGGGTCTGGCAGCCTCATCTTCCCATTGAACATCATACTAAAGTCAATTGGGGTCCAAAGTCTCCCCACTCCCATCTGGAAAGGCTTCCACGCTTGTTAGCTGGCAGCTTTTCTTTTTCTTTCCCCATAGCCACCATTGTGGATAGTCCCCTCAAGAAGCCAGAGACAGCAGCCCTCCCCTGTCCCTCTGGGTTTGGCCTTTGAAATCTGGGCACAGGGCAGTTCTTTGCCAGCCCTGCCTGCCTTCCTGGCTGCATGTCCCGTGATCCTAGGGGCTGAGCACTGTGGCATTTGGGGGTTGACTCACACTGGGGTCCCTGGTGAAAATGGGCCCAGATCAGGGGACAGGAAAGTAGAAGGGCAGTGACCAGGGAGGCAGGTTGGACGCTGGGGGAGGCTCCTGTCCCAGGACTGGGGCTGGACAGGAGGCCTGGGACACTTCTGGACACATCTAAGATCTCAGCCAGAACACATGTCCCACTTTGCAGCCATTAGCCAGAGACACCAGCTCAGAGAAGTCTGGGCGCAGACACAGGGCCTGGCCCAGCTCTGTCCCTCAGCCAGAACGGGGACCAGGCAGGTTATAGAAGGGTCTCGCTGAAGAGTAAGCAGATTCTCAGGCATGGGGCCGCCTCCCGTCTAGTTGGCTTTGCATCTGCGTGGCCCCCCACAGGCTGCAATAGTGTAGATGCTGCCTCTGCAGTAGATTTGGACCCAGTTGTTTTGGCCAGCGTAGACACAGCCTCTCCTTATAGTGCTGCTGCTTCTAAGGGGCGTGTGGGGCGTGGGCTGTGATGCCTCAGTGTGTGTCCAGCTCCCCCGCCTCGCACAACTTGGTGTCTTCTGTTCTTCTCCCCAAGAGTGGACCAGGCCATCTACGGCTGCCCCTCTCTCAGGCAGGTGGTCCCAGGTGGTCGTCCGTGCAGAAGGTATGGGGGGCAAGCCCTTCTTAGATTCATAGGTCCCTCCCTCTGTAGTGGAAGTAGCAGGTGTGCGTGGTGGGGACCTGGGGTCACGTGTTCTACAGCTGTGACCACGGGAACCAACCGAGGGCACAAGTGTAGAATGTGGATGCCTGGGGAGCTCTGAGGCCCAGCGGTGGGGGAGGGACCCTAGATGTCTACCAGCTCTGCTCCCGAACCTCACCTGCTTAGAGAGGTTCCATGGGGCACCCCCACACCAAGCCCTTCACCTGCACTCCCTCCGAGGGCTTCGCCGCCTCTCACGACAGGAACCCTCTCTCCAGCCGCCCTTGCTCACAGGACACCTGGGCAGTTGCTGGAACCCAGGGGAGTCAGAGGGGGCTTCCTGCAGGAGCTGGGGCTGTGAGACCTCGGAGGGTGGACTGTGGCCGGTGAAGGGAATAGGTGACACATTCCAGGCCGCAGGACCAGCCAGGGCAAAGCTTGGCGGTGGGAGCCTGACAAAGTGGAAAATGGGTGGGTTAAAGGAGAGAGAGCAGGATCCTGGAAGATCCTGGAAGACCCTGACATCCTCTGGCACGTGGGAGGAGTCACAGGGGCTCACCGACAGCCATAGACACGCCAAGGAAACGCGGGACTGCCTGACTCTCCAGAAGGGAAGTTGTCCCTGGCCCCAGCTCACCAAGCCTGGGCGGGGAATTACCGCCTGAGGTCTAGGGAACAGGTGAGCTGTTCTCTCCAGCTCACCTGTTCAAATTCCCTCCAGCCCCAGCTCTAGAACTGTGAGCAGGGCTTTGAGTGCCCTCTACTGGCAGGAAGCCCTGGCGCTGGAAGCCTATTTAGAGAGTGTCCGAGGTTCGGTTCCTAGGAACCTGGAAGACCTGGGTGCGGTGTCCTCTCCAGCGATGGGGACAGAGCTGGCGGGAGCCATCGCTTCCCTGCCCTGGACTCATCAGGGCACCAAAACCCCCCAGAAGGAAGCTGAGGCAGTGACGTTCCCAGGACAGTGGCCTGCTCACCCACAGATACGGCTCTGAGGCCCTGGTGGGATTCTGGGCTGGGGAAGGCAGGTGCCACCGGCACTCCTGGTTTGACAGCACGTGGGAGTGGAAGTCCAGGGACAGCAAAGGACTCACTTTGGCTGGAGCAGACAGATAGTTTCAGAAAGGAAGGGAGATGCCAAAGTCCTTAAATGCCAGGTTTAGTCTCTGGGTTTGATGCTCCAGGGAGTTTGGAGAGGCGGTGGTAGAGCAAGAGAAAGGTGGGCAACGCGAAGCTGTTGATCCGTCTGAAAACCGTGCAGCTTCCGAGAAGGCCTTAGCACAGCATGGGGGATGTCAGGGGTTACAGAAGTCATTTGGGGGGTAGATCCACCCAGATGTGTCCATGATCTCAGAGAGGGACCAAGGGCAGGGCTGATTTGTGAGCTCAAGGGTGTGCCATATTTCCTTCAGGAAGGGGCTCCACCTCCCTGGGCCCTGTGAGGAGAGGGGCTTTGTGATCTGAGGCCAGAGGGGCCTCTCCCGGCCTCACATCTGAGCAGGCAACAAGGCTGCCTGCCCTAGAGCTGGCCCAGGGCGCCTCGGAAGCCTTTGCCGGGCTCTTCCCTGGGCAGCAGGACCATGGCAGACAAAAGAACCTGTTTCTCATCTCTCCAAGCTGTGGGCACCCCTGCCGCTGCCCCCGCCCCTGCCAAGGGCTCCAAACTTTTCCAGCTCAAGCCCAAATCTCCTCAAGTGATGCCTATTGAAGAATTCCAAGGTAAGAGGAAGGACCCAGGGCCCCATCAGCCCTCCCCGACACCTGTTCCCCAACCACCACGGGAAAAAGGCGGTGCAGGACAGAGGACCGATGCCTGGCTTGGAAACCCTCCCGGAGTAGCTGGGCCAAGGTTAAACAGAGTCTCTCTTCCCTGCAGGCCTCTCTCCCCAAGAGAGCTGGGAGCAGGTATGAGTCAGAAGCCAACTTGGGCACAGTGGGCAGGCCACCTAGCAGGCAGAGCAGATGCCAGAAATAACCTGTCCCGGCTCCCTTGGGAGGCGTGGCCCAGGGGCTCGTCTTGGTTGAAGCAGAATCTGGGACACACCGGTCACTAATGCTGCTCTTTGGGACATTTAGAGGACACCTTACCTTCCCCTTGTCTCTGGAGGGACAAAGTGAAGGCGGCAGGTCCAAGTGGCCCACAGGTGGGAATGGCCACCACCTCTCCTGGGCACAGGCTGTTTCTCCAGGGTCTCCCATGCCCTTGATCACTGAGGCCTGGGTCAGTCCCTCCTTACCTCATCACAAAAGGGAAGCTGGGTTCTCTAGAGATGCACAGATGGAGGCTGAGCACAGTGGCTCATGCCTGTAATCCCAGCACTTTGGGAGGCCGAGGCGGGCAGATCACAAGGTCAAGAGATCAAGACCATCCTGGCCAATGTGGTGAAATCCCATCTCTATTAAAATACTAAAATTAGCTGGGCATGGTGGCGCACGCCTGTAGTCCCAGCTACTTGGGAGGCTGAGGCAGGAGAATTGCTTGAACCCAGGAGGCAGTGGTTTCAGTGAACTGAGATCACACCACTGCACTCCAGCCTGGAGCCTGGCAACAGAGCAAGACTCTGTCACAAAAAAAAAAAAAAAAAAAGCACAGATGGTGTTTCACATACTTGTCTGGTCCTCGGAGTGGAGCTGATTAGGGAGGGGTCAGCCTGAGAACCACGTAGGGATGGGGTGCAGGAGGCAGCAGAACACGGTGATCCTTGGTATGAAACCATGTACTTCCAGGAACAGCGAGTCAGAAGCCAGGCCAGGACCAGCAGGAGGCAAGGAGGTTCCCAGGGCCCCTGCTTTAAAGTGGCACTCAGTCAGTATCCTGCAAAACAACCGAACTTGCAGAAAGCCCAGGCTAATAAGAAAGAGTCTGGGCCAGGCACAGTGGCTCACGCCTGTAATCCCAGCACTTTGGGAAGCTGAGGCTGGTAGATCCCCTGAGGTCAGGAGTTCAAGACAAGCCTGGCCAATATGGTGAAATTCCATCTCTACTAGAAAAAAAAAAAAATTAGCCAGGTGTGGTGGCAGGCGTTTGTAATCTCAGTTACTTGGGAGGCTGAGGCAGGAGAATCGCTTGAACCCAGGAGGCAGAGGTTGCAGTGAGCTGACATCACACCATTGCACTCAGCCTGGGCAACAAGAGCGAAACTCCAGGCCATCTACGGCTGCCCCTCTCTCAGGCAGGTGGTCCCAGGTGGTCATCCGTGCAGAAGGTATGGGGGGCAAGCCCTTCTTAGACTCATAGGAAAAAGAAAGGGTCCGGTAGGTGGGGATTTTTCTCCCAGCCATCTTCCAAAGCAGCACAGGCAGGAGCTCCTGGTCCATTGCATCTTGTCCGGCGTCCATGCATGCGTTCACAGAAGGACACCATGGTGAGCGCCGTGAACCCAGGCACCTCCCTCCCCCAGTGCATGCCCGGGTGGCATGACCCTGCCTTCCTCGAATGAATCACTTTCTAATCACCCCAGCACGTGGGCATCCTTCAGAGAGGACTTGGCCCTGGCGCCCAGCCAGGCATTAGCAGGTGCTGCCCACTGGCCCTCCCTGGTTCCCTGTCTACAGGGCCAGGTGGGAATCCCTGGGCTCAGCCTAAGCAGGGAGGCCTGTCTCTTCCCAAACCCGATAGAAGGGTTGGGGGCCTAGGGCACCTTCCCGGACCTTTTCCAAAAATGCCTTCTTCCCTCCCTGCATGACCTGGGGTGAGTCCTTCCTTGTCCTGTGCCTCAGTTTCCCTGAATGCTCGCTGACCATTGGTGTTTCTTCCACTTGGCTGGCCCAGACTGCGAATGCTACGGCCACTCCAACCGCTGCAGCTACATTGACTTCCTGAATGTGGTGACCTGCGTCAGCTGCAAGCACAACACGCGAGGTCAGCACTGCCAGCACTGCCGGCTGGGCTACTACCGCAACGGCTCGGCGGAGCTGGACGATGAGAACGTCTGCATCGGTGAGAGGACGCGGGCACCCACCGGGAACTCACTGGAATGCGTGCCGGGTGCACTGCACTGTGAGGTGGCCTCTGGGGCCCCCTGCATCAGAATCACCTGGGGAGGCTGTGGGAATTCTAACTTCAGGGCCCCTCCAGCTGAGCGTCTCTAGGGACAGAAAGCTCCAGAAGCTGCTCTATTAGTAACCTCCCCTTGTGGTTCTCCTGTGGGAGAACTGGACTTGCAAAGCTTACCAGTGGCCTTTCCCTCTCTGGGCAACTGGAGGGGACACTGACCCTTCTGGCTTCAAAGAGCTATGACTCTGGCAGGTGGCAGGCACTCAGAGGCCACAGAGCACCTGTCTGGAGCTGGTGTGTGTGGGAGGGTGGTCCCCCTCCATAGCTCCTTTCCAGAAGGGTGGAGGAGCAGCCTGTCCCTCCTCCTGGGGGTGGGGGGGTGGATGCCAGGTGAGGGCCAAAAGATGGCCTTGCTGCGTGCGTTTGGGCAAGTCCCTTCCCCTCCCTGGGTCTTGGTTTCCTCATCCATCAAATCGGGGGGCAGATCAGATCAAAGGTTTTCAGCTCTTTTTGTTGTTGTTGTTGCTGAAGCTTTTCTTCAAATGCTTTACCAGCCCAGGTCCAGCTTTTAAAGCTGCTCTTCAGCCCCGGTGGGCACCCGGCCTGCTTCCTTCCAAGTTCTGCTCTAGGACTGGCTTTGAGGTAGAGAAGGAAGTCCATCGGGCCTGGGTCTGGGCGGAGGACACACACGCCCAAAAGACCAAAGCCATGACCACCAACCAAAACCCACCAGCCAGGAATGGTTGCCCAGGACCCCTTGCCCCTGTCGTCGGTAGAGACCAGGTCTCAACCCCAGGGGCTGTCCCCCAACCCTGCCCAGCCAGGCCCCTTGGGACACTATTGCCCATCCCCCACGCAGAAGGCGGCTCTAGCTGCGCAGAGAAAGGGCTCTGGCAAAGCTGGAGCTGTCGGTCTGAATTATGGCGACAGCCTTCAGGTAATTCCATCAACTAAGTGATCAAAGCCACTGACGTCACAGGCGGCCAGCTGCAGGGACAGGACAGGGCCTCTGGATCCAATTAGAGGTGCCCCCACCCTGGCACCCTCCTCCTCTCCCTGGGTCTTCCTGCCTCCACCTAGCACTGAGCTGCAAGGTTTCTCTGGGTGGAGGATATTCATCCCCTCCCACAGAGCAGAGCCCCAAGGGAACTAACTGGGCCCCGCCTCCTGCCCGGCCAGGAGCAGAGACAGGCTGTTCCTCCACTCTCCTGCAAAGGAGCTATGGAGGGGGGCCACCTCCCCCCAACAAAGCAGCCCCAGACGCGCTCAGTGGCCTCTGTTGAGCTCCTGCTATCTGTCAGAGTCACAGCTCTTTGGAGATGGGAAGGGTCAGCGACCCATCTAGTTGCCCCGAGAAGGGAAGGGGCTGACCCAGGCCACAGCAGGGTCAGGGCTGGGGGAGGTGGGGCTGGGAGGTGTTAGATCCCAGGGAAGGAAGCCAGAGTCTTCTCTCCAGGTCTGGACACCCCGGGGAGTCCTCACCCGCCGTCCAGCCGCGGGCTCACGTGGACCCGGTGTGGGGAGCATCCCCTGGGGAGTGTGGAGACCCGGCTGCGAGACCGGGAGAGTGGGGGTCCCAGCAGACGGCGCCCACAGGTAGCCCTGACCGCGCGCCCGTGCCCGTGTCCGTCCAGAGTGTAACTGCAACCAGATAGGCTCCGTGCACGACCGGTGCAACGAGACCGGCTTCTGCGAGTGCCGCGAGGGTGCGGCGGGCCCCAAGTGCGACGACTGCCTCCCCACGCACTACTGGCGCCAGGGCTGCTACCGTGAGTGCGCGCCGGTCCCTGGTGGGCGGGGCCTGCGGAAACGGGGCGGGGCAGGACTGAGGCAGTGAGCGGAGCCTAGTGAGGCCGGGGCCGGGCTGGTGGGTGGGGCCTAGCGAGACGGGGCAGGGCCGGGGAAGTGGGCAGGGGGCCTGTGAAGTGGGCGGAGTCTAGTGAGGTGGGGCGGAGCCTGATGAGATGGGGCAGAGCCGAGGAGGGCGGAGCCTAGCGAGACGGGGAGGGCATATGGGCGGGGTCAGCGACCCATCTAGTTGCCCAGAGAAGGGAAGGGGCTGACCCAGGCCACACCAGTGTCAGGGCTCGGGGAGATGGGGCTGGGAGGTGTTAGATCCCAGGTGTTAGATTCCTGGGGCGGGGCCTGGGTTGAAGGGCGGGACCAGGAGCTCGGGGCGGGGCCTGGTGCACGTGGTGCCAGGTGGGAACTACGGGAAAGGCGGAGCTGAGGTTGGCTGGAAGGGGTTTTCGGGGACTGAGGGAAGGGGACTGTCTGAGTCGGCGTTAGCCGCGGGCCGAGGGTGGAAGGACGCTCCAGGCGCATGGAACCGAACAGCACGTGCACAGCTCTGGAGACTGCAGGCGTGTCTGAAGAACCGCACCGAAGCCAGTGGGGTGGGGGAGCGGGCAGCGGTGGGAGGCAGGCGGGTCCAGATCTCGCCCTGGCGCCGTGACCCTCCGAGCGGGGACGTTTCACACCTAGCGCACCCGGAGCCTCCTACACCCCTAGTCCACACGGCGCCCCCGGGGGCTCGTGCAGCCCGATTCGCGGGAGCTCGGAGGTGGGGGGACCCGGCCACGCCCCGCGCTGACCGCCCCCTCCGCCCGCAGCCAATGTGTGCGACGACGACCAGCTGCTGTGCCAGAACGGAGGCACCTGCCTGCAGAACCAGCGCTGCGCCTGCCCGCGCGGCTACACCGGCGTGCGCTGCGAGCAGCCCCGCTGCGACCCCGCCGACGACGACGGCGGCCTGGACTGCGACCGCGCGCCCGGGGCCGCCCCGCGCCCCGCCACCCTGCTCGGCTGCCTGCTGCTGCTGGGGCTGGCCGCCCGCCTGGGCCGCTGAGCTCCGCCCGGGGGACGCGCCCTGCACCCGGGGCTGAGGGTCCCGGGGTCCCGGAGCGGGGCCGGCGTCCGAGGCCGGGCGGCGAGAAGGGTGCGGCCAGAGCTGCTCCCAGGTGCTACTCAGCAGGGCCCCCCGCCCGGCCCGCGCTCCCGCCCGCACTGCCCTCCCCACGCAGCAGGGGCGCCTTGGGGCTCCGGCCCCCGCGCCTGCCATTTGGTTTCGTTTTTCTTTTCTATTATCTGCCGCCCCGTTCCTTTTTTTTTTTTTTTTTAAATTTCTCTCTCTTTTTTTTTTTTTTTGGCTGGCGGTGAGCCAGGGGGTCTGGAGAAACGCTGCTCGCCCCACACCGCGTCTTGCCTCCCACCATACCGACACACACGGGACCGTGGCCAACGCCCCGTGGCCTGTCTTGGGCTCACCGGCGGCGGCGCATCCCGACCTCCAGTTGCCTACAATTCCAGTCGCTGACTCGATCCTGTTTTCTATTCTTTCTTTATTTTTCCCCGCAATCCACCAGACCCCAGGCCTCACCGGAGGCCGGGTGACCACGGAACTCACCGTCTGGGGGAGGGGAGAGAAGGAAGGGGTGGGAGGCCTGGACACTGATTTGTAGAGAACTATTTTTGTTTGTATTCACTGTCCCCTGTAGGGGTTACGGGGCGGGAACGCTGGTCACCGCGGGGGTCCATGGCGTAGAATCCGAGGAGTAAAGAGTCTGCTCACTGCTGCCTCCAGGGCCTGTTTTCTTTCTGTGTTGGGGACGCTGGGCAGGTTTGGGGCTTAGAGAGGAACCCACAAGAGAGCCTTAAAGAAACGGTTTCCCTGTTGGGGCCATCATTTCCCGGGGCCTTGCAGTGGAAAGGCCCTCTGGGGTGGGTTCTGCCCACCCGCCCCGCAGGCTTGGCTGGCAAAGCTCTCCCACCCCGCGGCCAGGCTGCAGGTGTCCGACCTGCCAGGAGCCTCCCCACACTGACGGGCTGTCTCCCTCCTTTCCCGAAAAAGAAATCTAGAGTGCACGGGCCCTTTTCTACAGAAGTCCAAGGAAAATTCTCAGGGAGAATCCTGGCAGAGATTGAATCCCATGCGCTGATTGATACTCTCTGGGTGGCCACCCCTGACAGATGTGTCATCTTGGATCTGTTGCAGGCGGAGCCTCAAATCCAATGTCAGGATTGGATTTAGCTGAACCCACAATTCGGCCACCACCTCCTTCCATAGTTTCAGGTGGCCAGGTGGGCAGAGGCGGGCAGGGCAGAGATCCCAGGCAGGCCAGCAGCCATGTCCTCCTTAGCTTCTCGAGATTAGGGAGGAGTGCTGGAGGGGACAGGGGCAGCTTGGGAGTGGCAAGAGAAAGCTCCCAGATTCGGGGCTCCTCTCCTGGGGCCTCTGCTTCTGAGGATCCAGCAGCTCTACCAGCCCTCGGGGCCACACTTCCCCCTCGGTCCAGCCTCCTGTTGGCCTGTGTTTATTTCGAAGCAGTCCTGGGATCCTGTCCTGGTTGCTAACTGCTCCTACTGCTCCACCTTCAGGTGCCCCGGGCACTGGCTTCTGTCACCGCACCTGTGCTTTCCCGGCTGCAAGGTTTAGACCTGGGTTCTTCCCTCGAGTACCCGAAGCTAAGCTAAGACCAAGTGGAAGAAACTTGGCCTTGGAGACAGCAGGAGATCACAACACAGAGAAGGAGGGGGAGGTACAACGGGACACTGCCTAGGACTCACAGCATCCTGAGCTCACACGCCAGCGCCTCCTGGCCTCCTCTCTCAGCTCCCACCCCAGCACCCTGCTAATCCAGAAGTGCCTTCCGCCAGACCCTGCGTCTCCCGCAGCTGGCCTATCTCCACCCTCACCTTCTTCCTTATGCACAGAATCCCACTGCCTGAGACCCAAAGCTCCCAGATAAAACACCTTCCTGGGCCTCCTTGTGGTTAGGAGTGGCCAGGGACACAACTCTGGGAAGTGAGATGTAAGCAGGAATAATGGGTGGTGCTTCCAGAAAGTTCCTTAAAAGCCATTCCTTCCTCCATGCCCCACAAAGCCTCAGCTGTCCAAGTTTGTTGCTCTGGTTTTTCTCTCTCGTCCCTCCCGCTGCTTTTCAGTCAGCAGGTTGGGGAAGGAGCCTTCTGTGGACACTGAGCACAAGAGTGTCGCCCTCAGGACGGCGGAGGGTGGAGCTGGTGGGGGGTGGGGGGTGGAGGTTGCAGAGCCTGGGACACTTGCCCTGGCTGCAACCTCTGCATTGCTTTTATTTATCTACTTATTTTTATAGAGTTGGGGGTCTCACTATGTTGCCCAGGCTGATCTCAAACTCCTAGGCTCAAGTGATCCTCCGGGCTTGGCCTCCCAAAGTGCTGGGATTACAGGCATGAGCCACTGCACTGCCTGCATGTCTTACTGTGTGAGAAAAAAAATAAACGTTGATGTTATTAAAACACTAGAATTTGGGTTTTCTGTTCCATGCACACTTACCAAGTTCTTGGCCCTCCCTGATTGACCTCTGGGCCCCCTGAGTCTTCTGAGGCCAGAGAGAGACTGAAACCCACCCTTCCTTGGCCACAGCCTCCTGTGGTGACCCTCAGGCCACCAGGAAGAGGACTGTCCATGACTCAGGCAGAGAAGTCCACCTCTGTCCAGAACAGGACTGCTCCTGCCTTCAAGTGAGCAGAGGGCAGCCGGGCCCAGACAAACAGCAGTGCCGGCTGCAGTCGGTAAACACGGGTGCTTCCTTCTGGTCATCGAGATGATAAAATGTCACCTAGAAGCAGAACTAGAGGCAGAACTTGAGACAGGGACAGCAGGGCCCAGCCCCAGTGGCCAGCCCTGGCTGGATCACAGGGCTGGGGGCCCTGGAGTGTCAATGCATCCCAGCACTGTTCTTGCCTGGAGGCAAATGGGCCACCCTCTGTCAGACACCAGTGCCAGGCTGGCATGGGAGCTGCAGTAGAAGCCCCTGGTACAGAAGGTGGGCAGCTGGGGGCTGAGAAGAGACTCACGAGGTGGTGCAGAGGGCATGACTCTTTATATCACCCTGGGTGTGTCCCAAAACACGCTCGAGGGTTCTGGGAGGCGGGGCCTCTGTGGGTGCCTACTGTGTCCTTCTTAACCTCCGTCATCTGGGCCCATGCTGCATCAGCTTCTGTGGGACTGGCCTGTGCACCCAGGGCCAGGGAGGTGGAGCTCACTGTAAATCAGAGTGGCAGCCCCAGTCCCCGGGGACACACCGAGGCCCTGATGTTCCCGGAGGGTGGAGGGAATGTTGCCAGTGGCCATTTAGAAAAACTCTGACATCTTCCAGGCAGCAGGAGAAGGAGAGAAGAAGGTCGGTGGAGCCAAAAGTCCCCGACCACCTCTTCTAAATGGTGCACCCGTGTCCCCAGAGCTCATGTTTTGACACCTGGTTCTGGGAGGTGACGGGAAAAGGCTGGCATTGCGAGGCTGGGATCCTCATCACCGCATGCCCAGGCACCGTTCTTGCATTGTTGCATTAACCCTCACCTGCCCCCTGGGCAAAGTTTTCAACCTTGACACCATCGACCTTGGGGGCTGGGTAATTCTCCGTGGCGGGGTTGAGCGGGGCGGGGGGGGGGGGGGGCTGCCCTGTGCACGTGGGATGTGCAGCAGCATCACTGGCTTTCATGTGGCACTTCAACGTGCCCGGCCCCCAGTTGTTGCCACCCAAAGTGCCTCCAGTAATTGCCAAATTGGGAGCAAAATCGTCCTAGATTGAGAGTCACTGCCTCAGGAGGAAGGAATTGTCATGCCCATTTTACAGAGGGGTCAGCAGAGGCTGGGAGAGACAAAGGCACTTGCCTGGAGTCACAGTTGCTAAGAAGCAGAGGTGAGAGTTGAACCCAGGGCTGCCTAACTTGAGCCCAGTGCTTCACCCCCAGGCTAAGCAGCCCTAACAGGCATGGGACTTCCACCCCACAGCAGGCGGCCGCAGCTGTCCCCCACCTCCATACCTTCAGCTGCCTCCCTCCTTTGGCACTCACAGCCAGGTCAGGCTGAGCGAGGAGCCCTGGGGAGCCTGGCTTCATCTAAAGGGCTCTGCTGTCAGGGGAAACGCTTCCCACCGCCCTCTGTGGCAGCGTGGCTTGTCCCCTGCCCCCACCTACTCCCCTAAATCAGCAGAACTGCTGCCCCGGCATTTCCTGCCCGGCCCATGCCTTATGGTTAGGAGGCAGTTATGGAAGCCTGGGGAGCAGTCAGCAGCATCTCCCGGCAGACCTGGGCCTGCCTCTGTCTCCCTGGGGGCCTGGTCCATCCAGGCACATCCCAGCCAGAAGATTTAAGGGAAAGGCCCCAGGAAGAAAAACATTACTTATTTATTTTTCCTTTTAAATCACATTTCACAACTTGTAGGGAAGTTCAAAAATACAGAAAAGCAAAATCATAGTAATTTTTGAATTAAACTCACCCACAACTCTTCATCCAGAACTAATAAACTATTAATATTTTTTTTTTTTTTTTTTTGAGACTGAGTCTCTGTCACCCTGGCTGGAGTGCAGTGGCATGATCTGGGTTCACTTCAATCTCCGCCTCCTGGGCTCAAACCATCCTCCCACCTCAACCCCCTGAGTAGCTGGAACTACAGGCCCACACCACCATGCCCAGCTAATTTTTTATATTTTTGGTACAGACGGAGTTACACTGTGTTTTCCACATTGGTCTCAAACCCCCGGGCTCAAGCCATCCTCATGCCTCAGCCTCCCAAAGTGCTAAGATTACAGGTGTGAGCCACCATGCCCAGTATAACTGCTAATATTTTTCTTACAGATATTTCCAGTGTCTCTTTCTTTTTCCTTCCTTCCTTCCTTCCTTCTTGAGACAGAGTTTCACTCTTGTTGCACAGGCTGGAGTGCAATGGCACAATCTCAGCTCACCTCAACCTCTGCCTCCTGGGTCCAGGAGTTTCTCCTGCCTCAGCCTCCCAAGTAGCTGGGATTATAGGCATGCGCCACCATGCCCGGCTAATTTTTTATATTTTTAGTAGAGAAGGGGTTTCTCCATGTTGGTCAGGCTGGTCTCAAACTCCCAGCCTCAGGTGATCCACCTGCCTTGGCTTCCCAAAGCACTGGGGTTACAGGCGTGAGCCAAAGCGCCTGGCCATTTCTAGTGTTTTTCCATAAAATAAAATCAACCACACTCAGACATCACCCCCTACCCCTGCATTTGCTAAGCCCTAGCACTGAGGCTGGACATGTCTTATTTCAAGGGTCCCTGCAGTGATGCTGAGAGTGGGATCAATTAATATAATACAGCTATCTTATAGCTCCATACACCAGAGCTCTGAGAGCCTCCTGGCCAGGGACCTTAGCCACAAGCACCAAAACACAGCACCAGGTGATTTAAGCAGCGGAGGAAATTATGTGAAGAGTTGCAGAGCCCTCAGACAGCTGTCAGGAGAGCAAGGTAAGAGAGGGGAAACGGGCTGGGCACGGTGGCTCACACCTGTAATCCAGCACTTTGGGAGGACAAGGCAGGCAGATCACCTGAGGTCAGGAGTTCCAGACCAGCCTGGTTAACACGGCTAAACCCCATCTCTACTAAAAATACAAAAGTTAGCTGGGCTTTGTGTTGGGCACCTGTAATCCCAGACACGCAGGAGGCTGAGGCAGGAAAATCGCTTGAACCTGGGAGGCAGAGGTTACAGTAAGCCAAGATCGAGCCACTGCCCTCCAGCCTAGGCGACAGAGCGAGACTTCGTCTCAAAAAAAATAAAATAAAAATTAGCCGG